CTGGAAAAAATGTATCGACTTAAAAGGAGACTATGTGGAAAAATAAAATTGAATTTGACCGAAAAATTACTTGTTTCTATGTTAGGCTCAAAACTTTTCAGACGACCCCCGTATGTATTGTATAATTTTATAAAACTTCTTTTTCCGGGCGCTTAAGTAATTTTAGTTCCTAATATTTAGTAATTGGCGACTAAAAAACCTCATAGAAAAAGAATGGCAAACTGATGACGTGACGCCGATCTTCTTTGACTGGTTCCGAGCACTAAAGCTCTATAGAGTCTATTATGAATGTAGGAATATACAAGTTAGAGAAGAAAAATAATTTGTAACATGACGAATTTTTTCTGCATCCATAATAAACTCTACAGAGCTTTGGTGCTTGGGATCAATCGGAGTAATTTTTTTCTTAGGACGAAGTCGAGAAAAGTGAAAAATATTATGTATGTATGTGTGCAGATAAAAAATTTTCATCTTTTACGTTTCCATCTTAGGGGAAAAATTACATGAGTGACCTCTTGAAGAGACAGCGTCACGTGACCAGTTTGCCACACTGTTCCTATCAATAATCCATCGCGATGACGTACGTACAATTACAATTTTCATTATCCAAATCCAAACATTTTAGTACCTACATATGTAAGTAGTAGATTTATATAAAATAAAATTAGTCTATACGCAGCTTGTTGTTTTCGATTTTTCATCATCGAAACATACTTTTATGTATTAAAACAAACAAATAAAATTTGTTTTTTTAATTAAAAAAACAAATCTTTTCTTCCTTTTTTTTAAGTACCTAAAAAGTACCTAATTTTTGGGATACTTTTTTCTTGTATCGGTATCTATACTTAGGTAATTATGAAAAAATGTATCTGTATTTATATCTAAATACTTTTTTCACACAATACTTATACCTATAACTAGATACCTTTTAAACGGTATCCAACACTGATCAGCACCGTTGCGATTGATATCTTGCATCTCTGAAATCTGAAGATCCCTGACTATATATGTATATATTATCAGTCTGTGATATGTTAAAGAAATAGCCATATGTTCAAAGGTATCGCAATACAAAATACTCAAACTTTAAACTGTGAATATTTTATTCTCTCTTTCTCTCTCTCTCTCTCTCTCTCTCTCTCTCTCTCTCGGTAACGGACATATTGCAACATATAGAGTATACTCATACAAACAATTGGATCTTGAGTAAATAATTAGGAAAATAAGATGTTTTTGAGAATTAAGCTTTTTGCAGAGAAACTAAATAATAATAATAATAAGTTAATAAATGTTAAAAGTAATATAATAAGCAAAATATGTTGAGAAATAGAACCAATAAGAATAAATCTACTAATTAAATAAGAGAAATATCTGTTTTTGGTGGAAGCGGATCTTACATTTTCTTCTTTCGAGAAATTAATTTATTTAAAGTGGGCGAAAATTTGTAATACATAAAATAAAGATGTGTATGTTAAGGATAATATAAAATTTTGGAGAAAAAAAATTTATACAGAAGTATAATTTTATTTTACATAATAACCGTTTAAATAAAGCTACTTTTATTACAATCAGCTTATTTTTATAAAATATTGTCATTATTTCAAATTTCCTAAATTAAGTAACTATACATATTGTAATAATAATAATGTTATAAAAATTTAAAAATCACAGTTAACATAAACAATATCATTATATAATATTTATGAAGTATTATATATTTATCAGTTAAGATAATGTAGTCGCATGTGCCCTGTATCGAATGTAATAAATTAGAGTTATGCTTATAAAAATATTTTATAACCGACTTCAGAGAACATATATTATTATATATTATACAAATAATTTGTCAAAATTGCAGAAAATTAATGTCATAGAAAATTCTATTTATTAATAGCTTCCCTATCTATTAATAAAATACTAAATATTATATAATTTATTAATAGCTTCCCTATCTATTAATAAAATACTAAATATTATATAATTTTGAACAATATTAAAAATAATAAAAAATAGATAAAAAATCATTTACGAAATGGTAATAATAAATAAAATAATATATTTTTCAAAAGTTGATATAGGTAAATGTATGATTCGTATCATACATACACATTTCGTGTTTTTTTAAATATCCGGATCAATAGTGTCGTAAGGTGTATATGTTGAATAAAATCTTCTTTTAAAAGTGTCTATTAATTCCCTAATAGAATTTTTACGATTTTTTATCGATTCTTGAATTGTAGACGAACTATCTGGATCTAACTGATTAATAATACCTTCTGAGAATTTTTTCACCTAAAACAGGATATAGTTTGAGATGTTAATAATTAGCAATTCATTCTTATGTAAAAATTTAATAAAATATGATTTTTAATTTAACATAATTTTAACAAATAAGTATATAATGTGTACAAATAGTATATTTAAGTCGTAAGGTCTTGCGCACAATAGAAGGAATAAGGAATTAAGAATAAAGATTAAACGATTTTAACCTATCAGAAATCGGATACATCAGAATACACGGATTCTGATAGGTTGAAATCATTTATTCTTTATTCCTAATTCCTTATTCCTTCTATTGTGCGCAGGACCTTAGCTTCGTTAGTATTTGTACGTCCTAAAGAAATTGTCTTTTATTTACGAAAGATATATGTAAACATTCCCATAAATCGAATAAATTATTAAACTAAGATACCTAAGACGATTTTCTTGCAAATTTTTTGGATTTTTTTTTAGATTATCGGTTTAATATTAATTTGTGAATTACAAGAATTCTGTTTATATTTTAAAGTACGTGTTATTCACGTATTATTCAATTTTACAATGTAATTTTACTCAAAAATATAAAAATAGAGTCTAAAAATGCAACTATAATTAATTATTAATATTAATTTAGTTAGGTAAAATAATTTACAGTTTCATACAAACAACGGTTTTCATTTGAAGCGCGCCATAGCTAAAATATTATTGATAGAGTTAATAGGTAGTTAAATATGTGAATCTAGTATTATATAAAATTTACCTTGTCAATTTGTTCGACAGAATAAACATTTGAAAGAATCAATTTTATGATTACATTTATAGTAAGTGATCTACAAAAAATATATTTATAATTAAGAAATTTTTATAATGAAGGAAACAGAGTTAAGTATAAGAGTACATATTTAGAAAAGTTATATTACTTGGGTTTTAT